TTCCACAATATCACCTGTCAGCATAAGTTCCACAAATTGTTGGTAGAAAATACATGAATAAATGTAAATAAGAAGAGCTTTAACATATGTAATTTCTCTTTAACACGAACAAATACAATAAAAGCATTCCACAAACGGCGTTGCCGTAATGGCGAGTTTAACATAGTTAAAGCTGGGTGAATATATTTAATTTGCATTAGGGGTATTCATTCCATCGTCACGGGTGGGACACAATTGTATAGCAATTTTTTGTTGTTTTAACGCAAATTACGTACGTCAATATTCTCCGTTTCAATTTACGTACATTATCGTGATTTTCGCTAAGGCTTCGGTACACGGTACATGGCTCCAAATTAACGTACTGTACATGTCATTTACGTACAGGTGGTCAGCATAGTCATGCCGTTGCTCTCTTGTGTCACTTTGGCTCCCAGCAACTCATGTTCTGAATCTCAGTATATACAATAATAAACCTATGGTTTGTTTACATACATATACTCAACTCTAGAAAATCTTAGGGTGTTGTGTAACACTTTTTTTTTGCTACTTTCGTTGTAATCAGGGTGCTGTGTTGGCTTTTAAGCTACATATAAATTTGAAAGTTCGATAAGCTACACATTAATATATATTATGAAATGCAAGTATTTACATTCTCTGACTGATTATTTTGTATTACTTTGCCTATTTCTTAAATTTTGGTGCGATATTACTTGCTATGTAAGATAATTTTTTTCTATTTAAAGTATGAAACACGCTTCAAGAATTTCTTAACTTTTGCATTCAAAAAGATACAGTCCTGGGTGGTAAGCTATCTTTTGACATATACAAATTGGTTGGCCGTTACAAGAAAAAATTAGTTGGAACTTGCTTTTAGATATAAGCGTATAATTTTATAAATTACTTATTTAAATGAAATAAGCGAATTTAAAGTTAAAAAAACAAGATTGGCTTAGGAAAGCATCAGCTTTTACAGCTTTTATGTTTTCTGTCAATCTAATGTACACAAACACAGCCGCAGAAAACTCACCACCGAGAAATCTAACACCAGGGACACATATTATATATAACAACTCACTACTTGCAAAATATTTATCAGTAAATCAATGTTTTAAGGACGAAATATGACACACTATGACGTTTAAAGCATTTATAAATAAATATATTCCTTAGATAAATAATTTTTGATTTATATTAAATAGAAATATTTGTAGTTGCCTCTTATTTACTAATTCGATATAATATATACAGCACTGCGTTGCTGCCACTGAAAATCCAAGATGGCAGCTATTCACCCCTCAGAAAGCTACCATGAAAAATTTTTTTACTGTATAAACTGTGTTCTGAACACAAAGGGAGCGAAAAACTTTAACCGCCATCTCTCAAATATTAAAATACACATGTTCTTATGGACATAGTTATTAAGACAGCTGCACGACTACACGAGAGCAGGCTCTCAGTTCTAGCTCTCGTTAATTAAAAATATTTTTAAATTTGCTGAGGAGAGGAGAGAAGAGGATGCCACTAATATGTAAAATGTCAAATTATGTAAAGCTCTAACAAAATTGACGTTATTTTCCAAAGAGAAGCATTAAATAGCTCTTTGTAATAACAATTGATAATTTAAAGCCAATAAATTTACCTATTACTTATTTTTTGCTTAAAAAAATTCACTTTGAACAAAATATTAAAATTTCATTGAAGTGAAAGATATTAGCAGAGAAGGTATAACAAAGAGAAGTTTCACGGCGTTGCCAATTTTACGACAATTGATTTTTCGAAGGGGGACAGTTTTGAATAAGCGTGTTTCACTCCAGGTATGTAACATCAGGGGCACAAAAATAACAGAATTACTAATTTCAATGATTAGAAATGTACGCTTACGTATATTTGCAATGCGAAAAGTACTTTGTATATAATCAAATTAATTCAAATCTCACAAGCTGGACATACAAATTGAACTCTTTCATGATGAAATCCTTAAGATTTTTTGAAATATATAACAAAGTCATGCATGTATTATTACCTAAATATTTAATATTATTGTTGGTAGAAAATCGGAACCGTGTTGGAAAAAAAAACAAATGTACGGTCACTGATTGTCACCGCTACCTTCCCGATGCAACAGTTTCGCCAACAAGCCAGCGTAAATATGTATGTTTCTGTATAAGCTTGCACATATCGACGCAGATTATAATAAAAATATTTAAATGGTCAAAAACTATGTTGCCACTTTTGTCACTTTTTTCTGTGCTTTGCGGATTTGAGGCATGGACACTTTTCCCTTCTAGAAGAACCATTAGAAATTGTTCAATTCACAATTTTTAGGATTTGCCATCGTCGCGAAGAGACGCTCGTTCGCAAAGGCATGCTCGAGGAGATGAGATTGTGTTTGCTTTATTTGTGTGTATTGGTGTGTACTCATATGTGTATGTAGGTTTGGGTAAACATTATTTGTTCGGCAATGTCATATACACATATGTACATATAGAGCAGTGCGCGAGTTAATTTTTACATTAAGTAAAAATGAGTCAAAAGAATATATTCTGAGCTGCACCGAAATGTGTACTCTTTATTTATACTCTTGAGACTAACCTATTACAAGGTTCTTCCTCCTATTTACACTAACTAGAATGATACTTCTTACTAGTTGATAGTTTTTTTTTTAGATATCATACCACATATTGTTTGTTAAAGTTTGTTTACATAAATCTTAGTGCTACTTATACTAGTAAATAACTATTTGGGTTGTTATTGTTTGCTGTATTGATAGTGCACTTCTATTGTTCCAAGATTAGGTTGTTTTGATGATTTTTATTTAATGTTGTTCATTTACTGAAACATAAGGCTGTTTTGATGTTTGTTTGTTTAGGATTCTTTGTTGTAGTGATAGCGCATTTGTTCCAATTCATTGATATATTGATGCATTCTGTTTACTGAAACCAAAGGTTATTTGGAAGTTTATTACTACAAGTATTATAAGGATTACGTTCCTTAACTCGCGCACATTTCATTACTGATAAACGATATACTTGTACAGCATGTTTTATAATATATGCTTGAATCGAATTATACTTACATATGTATGTATGTATGTACTTGTATGTACTTATGTGATGATAGATGCGTATGAAAGTTTAAACGATGATTGTAATAAGAAATTTTTAGAGTACTATAATAGTATTTCACTACATATGTATGTACATATATATAAACATATATGAAATTGTATTATATAATATTATCAAACATAAGAAATAGCATAATTTAATTAGATTGTTATCAGTTTTGCCTTTATACATATAAATACGCAAAGTGATATTCATATCAATTAATGTGATTCCATGTAAACGTATAAAAACTATGAGCGGCCAACATACGTCTGTAATAGCAATGTATATTTCTGAGTATAATTTTCATTGAATGCTCAGTTCACTCCGCACTGTTAAAATTTCTCCAGAGAACGTACATAATAGACAGAGAACGTTTATAATAGAGAAGGTTCACGGCGCGGAGAACGTAAAAATATTTTTGGCTAACTCGGAGGAGATGAGGGAGTTTCACCACTGCCAGCTCGGCAGGAGAAATCTTAACAGTTGCGCTTAAACAGAGCTGAGAATGGAATAAAAATTACGGTTATATATATTATGCTTATATATTACACACGTATGTCAGCTCTTTTGCTTACATTTTTATACATTTATATCAGTGGTGGGCATGAGAGGATCTGTCACTGTGTTGGTGAGCACGAAAAAAAAGTAGCCCAGTGAGAAATTTGAATTACAAATAAGCAAATTTTATGAGCAAAATTATAAAATCAGCATAAAATTATCAATAAACTTGAAAATTTTGTATGTTTTCACTACGTTGGATTTCTAATAGTGCGGAAAAGTTGCCTTAGTACTTCCTGATTCCAATGCAACTTTTTGTTTTGTGATCGGATTGCATCTTCAACCCCAACTCCGGCCTTTAAATTTTGGAAATTCGCCTAAAATCGTGAAATTCTCTACCTAGCGCCTGAAATACGCATATCATGGCAAAATGTATTAAAGTTATTTGTCACGTCATTTGCTACCGAAATGGTAAGTGATCATGGCTGTAGGACGAACCGTTCCCGAGATACGAGCGAAAATTCGGCGCGCCACAGCGAAAGGTGAAAATCGGCTTGCGGCCACACTTCTTGACGTTGATTTCACCGAGTGCTATCACTCACATTCATTCACCTACGCCAAAGGACACGTTCGGATAGGTCTCCAAACAAATATTTTTTCATCGAGTTCCTTCACTCTGGTCGTTGATTTTGCCGAGTGCTATCACTTATATTCTCTCAACAGAACACAGAACTCAAAATGTCTGTATCTAAATTTAAATTTAGGCAGAAATGTCCTGTGTTTGCATATATCCGTACAATCTCTCTGAGTCCCAGTTACCTACTTACCAGGATGTTCTTTTGTGTTATCAGTTTGAAAGATTTCGTATAGGCGAGGCGACAACTATAAACCTAGGAGTAAAGAGGTTACAGAAATAGTGTCAAAAAAGGTTGAAAATACTTTCAAAA